AGTCCCTGCATGACCGCGGGACAGACGGTCAGCAGAGTCTCACTGAGCCTAGCATGGCTCTCAGTTAAATACTTTCTCCAGGAACAAAAGGCAGTACACAGCTGTTTCACACCTTAAGGTTCACACTCCCTTGCTACTTCCCAGAGTCCTCGAAGAGACAAAAGACTGGTCCTCTGGAGTTCCTGTTTCCCCCAACATCCTTACTACACCCCCTACCATTTGTCTTAAGTATGAGTGTCAGACATGTTAAAATCCAGTGGCACCAAGGCATTACAATAACATAATGTGATTAATACCAAGGTAAAAGAAATTCCTATACAATACCATTTCTTTCATTTTGAAGAACAACAACTACGAAAAAAAAAAGACATCTGTTAGGTGTTTTTCAATGCAGACTTGTACTATTGTATCAGTTTAATGGTATGTTAGCAATTTACATAAAGAGAAATATATTCATATTTGTATGTTAAACATATATGGTACAGAAGTATGTGCAAGTTGGATTCCAAAGCTGTATACAATAAGGGCTTTTATTGTCATAAAGACTGGGTTATTTTTCTTCCATTCCATTGGTGGTTATTAATGGACTTATGATGTTGCAAAGAGATGGCGAGCCATCCCAGACCTCTAAAATTCATCTGCTACAAGGATCGTCTTTTGCTCTTTATAAGATCCACGGTATGGTAGGACCCTCACTTTCTTCTTCTTCTTCTTGTCCAAGAAGAAGTGAGCTGGACTGGACTTAAACTTCTGACTTGAGATTTTAGGACACTGACACTGTACCTGTGTGGAGACATTTAACATGAATTATCTGTGTGAGATCACTTAGGTTGTAAATTGTTTTGCTGGCTGTAGTTGTTGTGTCTATGTTACAGTATTATTGTCTATGTGATAATACAGTGTTCTCCTCAGATCTATTGACTCCAGGAAATTATTCTCCCTTTAATACAGCAACACGTTCTGTTGGTTTCACACCGCTCCCAAATGCTTACTTCTGATATCTGAGTGGTTCATGGTTTACAAAAAAGGAGTCACTGAGACCATGTGATGACTGAGAACAGTTAAGGGTGGGACTGAATAAGGAAGTCTGAGCTGCAGCTGCAGACAAGAGTGAAGCCTCAAAGCTACTCAACCTAATTTTAGGCTTCTGCAAATCAACAAGTGAGAATCAGCTTATGATATCAAACTGTTTAGGTAGAAGGAGGAAAGGCACGCAGGATAGAAGGAGAAAGGATATGTTTAGCTGAGCATGGGAAGAGATCTGGGAGGTTATAAATAAACAGCACTAAGTGGAGACGGTGGAGGCCTCAGTTCAACAGGTATGCTAAACACACCAAATAAATTAAGAAAACAATTTAGAAATGTGTTAAATTATCTTTAAAAAGATTAATTAAAAATGAAAACGTTGGTGGCAGCTCAGTGAATACAGGAAGTGAAAGAAACTCTCACATGAGTTAACTGCAGCAGAGAGGCAGAATACAGGCAGCAGCAAACATCCTGTGGTTATACAAAAGCATCGTGTTTCTTAGAAGACAGGCAGAGGCAGCGGTAAGACAGACATTCTTAACTTAGCACAGATACTTGTGTAAAAATATCTGAAGAAGAAGTTAATTCTTTCATCAAGGAAAAAAAAAGAAAATTTTACAAACTTTATTTTAATCTAAATTCTAATAAGCAAACGAGATTCATGTTGCGCTCTCTCTCTCTCTCTCTTTCTTGGTCTTTCTCTAAATATATCTATCTATCTATCTATTTATATATTTTTTTAAAAATCCCCGCTTGCCCCTACCAGAGGCCTGTGAGCTTGAGGGTCCTGCCTAGTAGCTTTTTTGTTCCTGAGATTCGGATATTGTTCCTGGGATCTACTGGAGCCACTCGCCTAGGTTGGGAGTCACCACACCCTAGTGCTCCGATTACCATTGGGACCACTGTTACCTCCACCCTCCACATCTGCTTCAGCTAATCTCTGAGTCCTTAGTATTTCTCCAGCTTCTCGTGTACTTTCTTGCTGATGTTGCTGTCATTTGGTATTGCTACATCTATCACTACGACTATCTTTTGTCTACCACCACTGTGTCTGTTTGGTTAGCCACCACCATTTTGTCCGTCTGTATCTGGAAGTCCCTCAGGATCTTACCTTGGTCATTCTCCATCACCCATTTTGACTTTAGGACTTCCAGGCCATACTTGGCACATATGTATACTATGCCGGCCACTTGGTTATGGCATTGCATGTATGCCCTGCCTTTTAGCATCTTGCACCCTGTGTTTGCTGAACTGAAGAACTGAAGAAGCTTCTCGGATGAGAGGTGAAAGGTCTTCAAGTAACTTAAAGAAGTCCAGACGCTTTTCTTTTAAGCTCCTTAGACTGTATTGGAGCATGTCCTTCCATGATGATTCTTCTCCTTGCTCCTCCTTGGTTTCTGCTGCTGAGGTATTCACTAATTATACAGCCAGGTTTTCTCATCCTGAATGGTGGTTCTGACACTCACCAGAGTTCAGGCTCCATCCTTTTGCTTAGCATACAGCCTCAGGGTGTTGAAATTGGGGTGAAACCCTCCATGAATGGTCCTTGTCTTGATGTCAGTGGCTTCTATCTCCTCCTTTGACCAGCTTATTATCTCAACAGGGTACCTGATCACGGGCAGGGCATAGGTGCTGATTGCTTAGATCTTGTTCTTTCCATTTACAGTGGCTTGCAAAAGTATTCGGCCCCCTTGAACTTTCCCACATTTTTTCACATTGCAGCCACAAACATGAATCAATTATATTGGAATTCCACGTCAAAGTGGTCTGAGTGCAGTCAGTTGCCCATAGACATTGCCTGATGAGTGCTAATGACTAAATAGAGTGCAACTGTGTGTAATCTAATGTCAGTATAAATACAGCTGCTCTGTGACGGCCTCAGAGGTTGTCTAAGAGAATATTGGGAGCAACAACACCATGAAGTCCAAAGAACACACCAGACAGGTCAGGGATAAAGTTATTGAGAAATTTAAAGCAGGCTTAGGCTACAAAAAGATTTCCCAAGCCTTGAACATCCCACGGAGCACTGTTCAAGCGATCATTCAAAAATGGAAGGAGTATGGCACAACTGTAAACCTACCAAGACAAGGCCGTCCACCTAAACTCACAGGCTGAACAAGGAGAGCGCTGATCAGAAATGCAGCCAAGAGGCCCATGGTGACTCTGGACGAGCTGCAGAGATCTACAGCTCAGGTGGGGGAATCTGTCCATAGGACAACTATTAGTCGTGCACTGCACAAAGTTGGCCTTTATGGAAGAGTGGCAAGAAGAAAGCCATTGTTAACAGAAAACCATAAGAAGTCCTGTTTGCAGTTTGCCACAAGCCATGTGGGGGACACAGTGAACATGTGGAAGAAGGTCCTCTGGTCAGATGAGACCAAAATGGAACTTTTTGGCCAAAATGCAAAACACTATGTGTGGCGGAAAACTAACACTGCACATTACTCTGAACTCACCATGCCCACTGTCAAATATGGTGGTGGCAGCATCAAGCTCTGGGGGTGCTTCTCTTCAGCAGGGACAGGGAAGCTGGTCAGAGTTGATGGGAAGATGGATGGAGCCAAATACAGGGCAATCTTGGAAGAAAACCTCTTGGAGTCTGCAAAAGACTTGAGACTGGGGCGGAGGTTCACCTTCCAGCAGGACAACAACCCTAAACATAAAGCCAGGGCTACAATGGAATGGTTTAAAACAAAACATATCCATGTGTTAGAATGGCCCAGTCAAAGTCCAGATCTAAAGCCAATCGAGAATCTGTAGCAAGATCTGAAAACTGCTGTTCACAAACGCTGTCCATCTAATCTGACTGAGCTGGAGCTGTTTTGCAAAGAAGAATGGGCAAGGACTTCAGTCTGTAGATGTGCAAAGCTGGTAAAGACATTCCCTAAAAGACTGGCAGCTGTAATTGCAGCAAAAGGTGGTTCTACAAAGTATTGACTCAGGGGGCTGAATAATTACGCACACCCCACTCTTCAGTTATTTATTTGTAAAAAAAAAATTGGAATCATGTATGATTTTTGTTCCACTTCTCACGTGTACACCACTTTGTATTGATCTTTCACATGGAATTCCAATAAAACTGATTCATGTTTGTGGCTGTAATGTGACAAAATGTGGAAAAGTTCAAGGGGGCCGAATACTTTTGCAAGCCACTGCAGCTGAGTGCTCAGGACTTGCCCAGACTTTGCATAGCAGAAAGACTGCTAGCAAAGATATTTCTAAAGTTAACAAAAGTGATCAAGTGCTCTATAGATATCTAAATATGTACTTATATTTACCTTTAATGGTGGTGTAAAAAGAACAGAGTGTTTTATACAGTGGACCTTTGCTAAAGTCCACTGATTGTCTTTCATCCTCACAGTGATGATAAGATACTTCTTATACGACTCAGTAAGAAAGAGACTCCTAAAATTGCAGGTTGGATTAATAAATCTTCCTTTACTGTAATTTTTTTTTTTTAAATAAACTTTCTCTTCAGATGAACTCTTTGGAGGGAAACACTGACTTTCAGGAATCTTCCATACCTTAGCTTAGAGATCATGTTGTAAATGACACATTTAAAGTACAGTCAAAGTTTCTAATGATTTTCTCTGTCTTACACATTCCCCCGATCAGTTTGTGTTGTTGATGACAACTTACAGAAAAACTCCTGCAGCTCTACAGCAGTATAGTGACCTGGCAAGCAACAAGTCAAGTTTGGATCCACTTATCTGAAAATGGCCTCTGATCCCCAACGCAGCATGGAGTCAACACCAGACTTTTCTTCATCACAGATAACAACAGGTAGAGAAGCCAAAAACTGTACCAAGTGAAATATAAGACTTCAGCATGGTAGAGCTTTCATAAACATTTATATAATTTTAGTTAATACAGCCAGATTGGTAAATCAGACAACAGGCCAACATTTGAACACCACACAGTTGAAATACATTTATCAGAATCTCAATGTGTAATGTCTCTGATCACACCAGAGATGTGACAAGTACATGACACAAAAATGTGAAATGCTTTACATAAAACCTTTTCATGCTGGTGAAATACTGACTGATTTTCAGTAAAGGCTCCAAATATTATTGTGCCAAACGTCAGTAATTACTTCCTCCAAACCACCGGTGTGTCTTTTATAACCCATTCCCACAAGACTGCTCAAAGAAGTCCTATCATTAATTAATGCTTCAATCTTAAATATGATCAACCTGTCTCTAATAATCGGCTATGTACCACAGGCCTTCAAGCTGGCTGTAGTTAAACCTTTACTTAAAAAGCCATTTCTTGACCCAGCTAATTATAGACCAATCTCCAACCTCCCTTTCATCTCAAAAAATTCTTTCAGTCAGAGTCTGGGTTTCAGTCAAGTTTCAGAGCTCATCACAGCACAGAAACAAATTTAGTGAAGGTTACAAATAATCTTCTTATGTCCTTCTTAAGTGAGGTTTGGGCTTCTCCTCTTAGGCTGCTGCTCCTGTGACTCAGCCCCAGATAAGCAGAAGAAAATGGATAGACAGACGGATGGAGGATTTGGTGGATGGGCATCTTTATCTCAGATTAATGAAGCTGTTTAAAGTTAATCTATTTTGTTTTAATGTCATTCAGAGATTCGAGAACAGCCACCTCAAAATGAAAAGCTCTATGCACAAGGCCACACTGGGAGAACGTGAGTAACAAAATCACTTTTATGTGTTCAACTGAATTTTCTTTGTCATTTCTGCAAAGTCTTCACCCTTTAACAGATTTCTGTGTTTGAATAAATAAAAATATGACAGCTTATGAGCTCTGTCTAAATGAACAGTTTTAATTTTGATGGCTTCATGAAGGAGTGTAGTCAACAATGACTCTGCCCCAGCCGCATCCTTCGCAGGACCTGGTCTTCGCGGTGTATATGGGCCGGGTCCTCCGAATACCAAGAAGGTTGGAAGTGCGAGGCTGTGAAATAGGACAGGCTAGCCTTCAGATTTGCGTCACCAGCTGTCTCGGTGGAGTTTAATAAAGTCAGCTGTCTGCTCCTTGCTATCTAAAATATAACAGGACACTGGAGTAAATTCTCAACTATCTCACACTTCTGTTTAATCAGTTTAATGTTTGACTTTTATTCAGCTGTGTGAAAACTATAACTTTAATCTCAGCCAAACCAATTTACTGAGGAACAAATAAAACACTGAAAAAAGCCAAACAGTAACAATTTTAAGTTTTCTAAGTGACTTATATATCATGTTCACCCTTAGTAGCAAAAGACCGTGGGGGATTTAAAAAACAATGTCCTGGGAGTCTGGTGCTCTCGCAGGCTCTGTTGAGCCTTGAACCCCCGGCTAGCTATCGGGGGTTATGTATTGTATTATATTATATTATATTATATTATATTATATTATATTAAAACTAAATGGCAGCACCTATGTATTTGGACACACCAAATGTGTGACAAAACCCAAAAGCCTTGCTTTACAAAAACATCTTGTTTTTGTAAAGCAAGGAAATAACAAAGAAAGAAAATATAGATCTCATTTAAAAGACACAAGAAAATATTAACATTTGCTGTTTAATTTATTTAGCTCAAACAAAAATAAGCAATAACTGATAAACATTACTAAAATGAAAGCTTATGTTTGTGTCTGTTTTCTTGCTAATGCAGATGGAAACTTCATTTTTATCTTACAGTCACCATTGACCTTTAATTATCTTAATCTGTACAGAACTATTTACCTTTTCTGTCATATTTTTGTATTTTGAGCTTCTCTTTGTTATGGTTACTGCAATGTAATAATCACTTTTTTTTTTTTTATACAGAAACATCTCACCCAAATACAAGGATATTATCAGCAGAAGTATTAAGATCCAGCCAGGATCTCCTGCTGTTTATCAGTTCAGACCAAAGAAAGAGGAGTTTGGATCTTTGACAAAAATAACTGTTGGTGAAAAAAATGCAAGCAAGACAAATAAAACCATCTTACTTGTGGGTGAAACAGGAGCAGGAAAATCTACTCTGATCAACGCTCTGTTCAACTACAGCATGGGAGTGAAGTGGGAGGATGAAGTCTGGTTTCAGATTGTAGAGGAAGAGGAGAATAATCAGACAGAAAGTCAGACATCAGATGTGATCGTGTACGAAATCTTTGGTTTTGAAGATAAAACTCTGCCCTACTCTCTGACCGTCATCGATACTCCTGGATACGGAGACACCGGAGTGACTGAACATGATGATATGATCTGCCACAGATTGATGGACTTGTTTAAATCAGATGACGGAGTACATGAAGTTCATGCAGTGGGTCTGGTGATGAAGGCGAGCATTAATCGACTGAGTGACCGACAGACATACGTCTTCGACTCAGTGATGTCTCTGTTTGGAAAAGACATGGAGAAAAACATCATAGCTCTCATCACACACTCAGATGGTATAACACCTAAAAATCCTCTCAAAGCTATTGAAGCTGCAAAAATTAAATGTGCCAAAAATGAGAAAGATCAGCCCGTTCACTTCCTGTTTGATAACAAACAGAAGGAAGAGAGAACAGAGGAATACGTGTCTTTTTTTGAGTGTGCGTGGAAAATAACAGAGAAAGGAATGAAAGGGTTCACAACCTTTCTAGAGAAATCTGCACCTCAAAATATGATGAAAAGTGTGAAAGTGATGAAACAAAGAATCAGACTGACAGCCTCCATCCAAAACCTGAAAGAGAGAATTGAACGGGATGAACTGAAAAAGACAGAAATCCGACAGATTCAAGAAGCTTTGATGAAATATAATGAAGAGATGACGAAGAATGAAGAATTCACTGTAGAAGTTGATGAGGTCTACAAAGTTAAAGAAGATATTGATGCTGGGATGAGGTTGATGGTTTTTTATAAAGCAGCTACCTGCTGTACAGTCTGTGAGGAGAACTGTCACTATCCTGGATGCACAGTGACATGGAAACCTAAACACTGTGAGGTCATGAAAGATGGCCGCTGCACTGTTTGTACCAATAAGTGTCCTGCATCAGTTCATGTGAAAGAAAAACGAAGATATGTAACCAAGACCAGAAAAATTCAGAAGACAAGGGAGGAAATGAAGGAAAAGTTTGACAAGAATAAATCAGAAAGTGAGAACATGTTAAACCTTTTAGAAAATCTCAAAAGGGAGAAAAACCAACTGACAGCCGAAATTGATCAGTGCCTGGATGAATCCTACAAACATTTTGTCCAGCTGGATCAGATCGCTCTGAAAGCTGGTTCTGTGTCCACTTATATCCACTTGGACTTTCTAATTGAGAAGATAATTGAGAAAAGAGACACAGAGAAGGTCCAGAAATTGGAGGAGATGAGAAGCAGAGTGGATGAAAGAACCAGATTAGGACTGCGATACATGCTTGGAAAAATACCAGGAACTGGAAAACTGCTTAAGAAATGATGTCCAAGGCTGTAAGCAGACAAATGGCGAGAATATTTTGCTATAACTGACAAGTTAAAATGTCATCCCCTTTGAAATATGTCATTCTGCTTTTTGTTATTGTAACAGTTCATAGATACTATTTTATTAGTTAAAATAAACTGTGAAATAAAACAAACAGTAAAACTAGCAGTAAAACAGTTAATAAATAAGCCTATATCTTTCCTTTTGTCATTTCTTTTACCTGACATTGTAGCTGTCGGGTGTATGCATAAAGAGGGTCTTGATCCTCAGAAAAAGAATTGTATTATATCCAAACATCCTTGTATTCCATGGATGAGTTTGTTTGTTTCTGTTGTTTCTTCTTTCAGAGGCTTTGATATTCTTCATGTTGTACAATAAACATATTTTATTAAAACACTCCAAGTTTTTCATGTATTTTAGTTCTTAGGCAGTTTCTGATGACAGCAGCTGCTCAGGTTCCTCCTCATCCATCAACCTTCATGCTGAGATTATTAAAAATGAGTCAAACAGGATGAGAACAGCAGAAGTTCCCCCACCAGCCTGTAAATGAAGGTCAGAGTTTGAGGGAAATGTGGATGAAGATGAGCTCCAGTGGAAATGAAGACGCTCCTCAGAGAGAAAACATTCCTGCAGAAATTCTCCATATTTTATGGTTTTCTGCTTTTCTCTGAGCTGATTGAATCCTTTGGAGCAGCCTTTAGACAGGAAGTAGATCTCACTCAGCTGGGACAAACAGGAGTGCTGTCTAATAAAAAAAAACAACAAAACATGAAACTGTGCTTCAGATTAAACAAACAAGGCTTTATTCTTCTTTAAGCTCAACTAAGGATTATTTGGAGTTTCAACAGAAGTGGAAATAGATGATGTGACAAAGAGAAAGACAGGACTGAGGCTATTTAAAAAAAACAAAACTCCTCTCTCTGTTTTCTGTTTCCTTGGATGTTAAATGTGATGACAAAGGATTAATGCAGACAGGGGAAAGTGACATTTTATCCTCAGATTATGGTTAAAAATACTGTTGTTGTTGCTATTGGTGTTGTTGATGTGGGTCTGGTGTGGAGAAACGACAACTTCCTGTATGGACTACAAACGGATCATCCCACAGACTTCAGCACATCAGTTCTTAATGCAGGCTGGATAAAAATATCACTTGATTAATAAATAGCCTCTAAAGTAAAAAAAAAAATTTTTTCCTCAGTAAGATCAGTTTCTCATCTTTCCTCTTCCTGCTGCAATGTCATGGTCCAGGATAGATCCAGTGTTTTTTCCTGTGTCCCTGTAAAATAAATCCATTGAAACTTTACCATTGCCTCCCATACTTAAATCTGCTTTGGGGTTCTCACTCTAGCCTCTGGGCTCCTGTGACATGCAGACATGATCCAGTGTAACTCCTCCTTTATTCGGGGTTCTTGTGACTAAAGTCACGTTCACTAATGATCAACCTGAAGGATGCAACACAGCAACAGACAGAACTAATTCAAACTGAACTATGGAGAAGCTCAAACTCACTGTGATCATTTTAATAAAGCTCAGAATCTTTATTGAGACAGATTTGTTTCTGTTTATATGTGATGAGTTCAGCTGAAGGTTTAAACATATTATTAATGAATGATCCGAGTAACTGTCAGTCATGCAAAGAGACATGAAGACATAGTCAGGAGGACGCTGTCATGGTCCTGGGTCTTTGACCCAGTGTTTTGAGTTTATTGTCATTATTTTCCAGTTTCTGCTGTTTTGTATTTGTTCTTAGGGTTTGAGTTGTGTGTTTTCAATCATCTCTACCTGTGTCTTTCCTCTGTGTCCTGTTCGTGTCCCCGAGTTGGTATTGTGAAACAGTCTGTGGGTTTCCTGTTTTACTTTGTAGGTTTGTGTCTCGTTATGCCCATTAGTTCCAGCTGTGTTCCCAACTGTCTGCCATTTCCTAATTACCTGGTGTGTGTATTTATACTGCGTGTCCGCCTGTGCTCCTCGTCGCGTCGTCTTTGTATCTTCTGTGTATTTTGCATTATTCCATGTTTCACCGTGTCTCTCTGCTCCAGTACACAGCGGAAACAAAAAGACTGCTTGGTCGAGTTGACCTCCTGAACTATCTACAACACATGGTAGAAACCTGAAATTAAGACCAAGAACACTAGAGGTGAGACATGATCATTAATTAATATTAAAATTAATAAATGACAGATTTAGTGATATTTTCATAAACTATTTATTTACCAAAACAATACAAAACAGCATGGTAGCACGATATATTTTTTTTAACACAGCAATCTTTAAATATGAAAGGAGACAGAGAAAGAAAGGTGAGAAAGAAGAATAAGAATAACACTTAATTGAGTTTTTGATGGCATTTTACACACAGTACTAATACAGTATCTAGAAAATATGGGAAAATACTGGCATCATATACAGTACTTACTTCTGAAAAAAATTATATGGGACCCTGAAAAACAGGACACAAGTAAAAGGACAAAGAACAGTGAATAACAATTGATGGACTTGCTCAGATGATCACAGTACTGGCATCTTTATTCCACAAAATTAGAGGAATCATATACTGCAGTACTTACGTTGATGAACTTAAAAAGTTGAATAGTCTAGAAAACCTCTTAAACAAACAAACAATGTATGATTTGACCCAGAAAAACAGGACAGAATGGAACAAAGATTAGATGAATATTAAAATCGATAAAGGACAGATTGTGATTGAATTGTATCGCCAAAGACTATTCACTCATCAATAAAAGGTCACCTACAACACTTCCACAGCAGCAACACT